ACGACAGCACAGGACAGGACAGGGTTCAGATCTTTCATTGCTGTGGGTATTACTCACCTCAGCAGGCATCTAACAAGAACCATGTCTTAATCAGTGCCTGATTAATGGTAAGTGCTTGGTAGATTCTTGATGAGTAGAAAGGGAAAAAATAACCTTATGGAAATGACTAGCTGTTTGTCAGGATGGGAACAGGCACAGAGGTGAGTATCATTGTAGATAATTCATGTCTTCCAAAGACCTGAGTTAAAATTAACTTTTGCAGTGTTGGGTGTGAGGAAGAACTAGCACCAGTTAACTCTGGGTAGATTGACTGTCTTGGAACTGCTGTGAGGCATTGTCCTCTGTCTTGTGGCATTAAATGAGATGGAATTGCCTTGATGGTAGAGAGCTCCATTTGGTTTTTCTCTGTCTTGAACTTGTTGATTTGGTAAACAGGGAAGCTCTGTCCCCAGCTGCATCCATGCTGACTTTGTCATGTTTGTCCACGTTTGCACTTGCTGGTTTTCAGCAGTATGTCTCCAGGCCTTTCCTTTTAGCAAGTCTTAGTCTGGAAGGCGGCTGGAACCTGCTCAGCAATTGAGCAGCACAAAGCCTCCATGGGCAGGTGGCGGCTGTGCAAGGGGTTCCTTGATGTGGAAATGACCTTGACAACCCACTGCTGCTGGCCATACATGTCGCCGGGAGGAGCCCGGGAAATTTCTGTGCTGATTCTGAACAAAGATCTGGGGCTCAGTGGCTGGATTGGGATGGCCCAGGACCAGTAGCCAGGGGAGAATATGGATGTCATAGCAGCTGGTTCAAGTTGGTAATTTTTTTTTTTATCCATTAGACATCTTGATACCATGTGAGCTGGTAGGTTCAAGAGAGAGAAAGAGAGTGAGGGGCGCCACTCTCACCCCAAAAGAGAGCAGGGGTACAGCACGCCTCAACTCTTCTCCTGGGTTTTGCACATCAGGATGTTAGGTCTTTGCATTGGATGTAAGGCCAAGGACTCGAGGAAGGGACCAGATCTCAACTTTTGGTGTCAAGCAGGCACGTGATGTGATGTGATGTGGTACACTGATTGGATATTTAATTAGCTAGATTGACGTAGTGAGAAAATGATGATTTTTCATTTTCTTCTGTTTTCTCTGCATTGTTTGGTTACTGAAGCAGAACAGTACTGTTTTGGAAATGTGGGTCACCCCTTTGGACGGGGGCGGCAGGCTTTAGGCCCATTCCTTTAGCCAGCAGTGGAACCTAGTTAGGATAGAATGACATTATATTTATTTGTATGTAGCCTTAGTGACGTTTTCTTTCCAGGCTGTTGTTAGATGCCGTCAGGTCAGTTCCATCTCCTAGCAACGCGGGGATGAGAGTGAAGTCCTCCTGATCCCGTGCCACCCTCACAATTGCTGCTGTGCCGTAGCCCGCCATTGTAGGCGCTGTATTGACTGATCGCATCTTTTTCTCTGCTCCTTTGCTTTATTAAGCACCATCTTCGGCAGGGCCTGATCTCCTGATATACGAGACAGACACAGCCATCCTCCTGGTGGAAGTCATGACTTCGACATTCTTCTCAAACACCACCATCATTTAAATGCATCTTCTAGTTCTGACTTGTGTAGAGTTGCTGTGAGTTGGAGGCAACTCGATGACACATAACAACAACCACAGTTCTGACTTAGTTTTTCTTTTCCTTGCCTAAGTTTTCACATGCATTTGAGGTGATTGAAAAGACCATGATTTGGATCAGGTGCACCTTAGTCCTTAGTGGACATGCTTGCTGTCCTGGATTTTAAAAAGGTCTTTATTAGCAGGTCTGCCCCGTGCTTCATGGCTGCTCCTCCCCTGGTGTTGACTGTGGATCCGAGTAAGAAGAAATTCTTCAGTAACAACATAATTCAGATTTAGTTCCTCGGTCTTCCTTGTTCCTTGTCTACCTTTCACATACTGTGAGGTCACTGAAAATATCCAGGCTTGGGTCATGGCTTAGTGCTTTTTAACAATTCAGAGAAGTGTTTTACAGCAGATTTGCATAGTGCAGTTAGATATTTTTAATTTTTTTTTTCTTCTGCTGCTTCCATGGGTGTTGATTGTGAGTTCAAGCCAAACAAAAATTCTTGACAACCTCAATCTTTTCTGCCTTTATCATGTTACGTATTGGTCCATTCGGGAAGATTGGGGGTTTCTTCTTTTGAAGTGCAATCCACACCAAAGGATGTTGTCTTTGATTTTCATAAGTGCTTCAAGACCTCTTCATTATCAGCAGGGGTGGCTGTGTCATCTAATGAGTCTTCCTCCAGCCCTATCTAATCCAGTTTCTTAGTTTAACTGGTCAGCATAGCGATTGAATAAGTATGGTGAAAAGGAACAAAGTAAGAGAATTTGCAGGGTGATGCACTCGTCTTTCTGAAGCTGTGGTATTAATACATCATGCAATGCATTTGTAGAGAGTTTTTCTTTTACTCATCAAGGAGAAAAGTGAATTGGAGGGGAGAGGGTGGGCAGGGAGAAAAGTGCAACTATGAATGACTGGAAACCTTAAGACACTGTAAACTTTCATAAAAATGAATTAAAAGACAAACAAACAAACAAACAACTGACAGAATTGTATGCCATGAAGGGAATTGATTTACCTGGACACTTTTCAGACAAAAAACGTTTTACATGCACTGCTAGGCTAAGTACATAGCAGACAGTCAAAGGTGGTGAGCCTTAGAGGCCAGTGAGAAGGAAGACTTTTACTCTGTGTGGTTTGGGGCATCTAGAGGGTTCTGAGCATAGAAGTGGTGTGACCTGACTTGGGTTCTACCTGTGTCACTCCAGCTGCGATGCTGAGTAAATGAAGGGAGGTAGACAAAGCTAGGAGGCTGTGAGATAAAGATCAGACCTTGCGTTGGTTTTGAGGGTGAAAAGAAGAGACCAGATTCATTCTGACTATACTTTACAGGTAGAGTCAGTGAGGTTTGCTAACAGATTGACTGGGGGTTGTGAGTGAAGGGTCAGGGATGACCGACTTTGGGGTGTGGACCACTGTGGACTGGTAGAGGAAGGAGGGGCTAATCTCTGGAAAAGGGGATCGTGCTTGGTAAAGTAGAGGACCAGTGACAAATGAGATGGACTTGTACAGTGGCTGCATCAGTGGGCTAAAGCATGGTGACCATCGTGAAGACGAAGCAGGCTTGGACGGTACTTTATTGTACCCGGGATCACTGTGAATTGGAAGTGACTGGACAGAACCTACAACAACCTCTTAGAGACAACCCTTTTCCTCACCTTCAGCCTCTAAACATTTGCCTCCCCTCTGACTTTGCCTTCTGAGAGTCATTTAAAGGCATTTAAGATTCTTCTATGTTGTGTGAATGCAGACTTTTTCCTTGTGTATCCTTTAAAGTCAATTTAAGTAGAAAAAAAAATGAGTTGATTTAAAAAAAAAATCTCCCTTTTCAGCAGGAAGTAGCTAAGAGAATACGCCGTCCCCTTTTCCTTATGACTCAGGGTGAAGTCTCTCTCAGGGAGGAGTGACAGGGAATGGCAAAGGATACACTGACAAAGAAGATTAATCAGAACTGGCTTTGACAAGCACTGTGGCATTTGGACAAGAACAAACTGGGAGGAGGGTAGAGAGAATAGTGCAACAATGAATGAGTGGAAGCCCAAAATCTCTGTAAATGTTTATGAAAATTAATAAAATATAATTATAGAAAAAAAAACAATGAAGGTGGCATTAAATAATTCTATTCTGAGTTATTGTTCATGTATGTTTCCCATAGACCTTGGATTTACTTTGAAGTACCATTGAACAGAAAATAAAAGCAATCTCTACTCCTAAAAAAAAATAAAAAAAAATCTGTTTCTTAAAGTATAATGTACATGATATGTTGAAAGGTACGTAAAAGGTACAAGTCAGTAATGATATGATAGAAAAGTCCAGGTAAAGGTTTTCTTTTACCTGGTCCCTCTGTCAATAATTAACTATGTATTCTTGGGAAAGTCCCGTAACCTCTTTGATCCTCTTGCTCTGGTAGAAGAACCGTTAAAACACCTCATCTCGTAGTCATTAGCTCCAGTCACTGAGGTGACTGTGCTTCCTAAGACACAGGCTCTCTCGGGTGGCTTTGGAAGGGCTTTCACATTAGCTCTTCATTGTGTGGCAGTTTCACCCCTGGATTTGTGTGCTGGGACCAGGTGGCACACCAGTGAAGGGAAGGAGCCAGCCATAGCAGTGAGGTGAGCTTTCACGGCAAGGCTGCTGACCAGGGGCTTTGATGTTGAACTAATCAGTTATAAAATGGTGAGGACCCAATTCAGAGCTGTGGGCATGGCAGGGAGGTGCCGGGAGTGACAGAAATTTGAGCAAGTTGCTGTAACACTTTACCTTTAATCCTCATGGACCTAGCCAGAGGCCCATTTCACAGAGATACCTGTAAAGTTTGATTTTTCTGGGCTTAGAGTTCCCAGAATCTGCGGAAACTGGTAAGCCATTTGTCACCTGTGTGGCAACATGTATTTGATGGTCAGTGTGTGTTTGAGAATTTGCTGCTCATAACAGAGGTTCCCTGAAAATGGAGAAGGAAACCAGAGCTGTTTACTTTTTGTTTTGTTTTTCTTTTCAAAGAGTACCGGTGTCTAGGAATTAATTTGAAAATCATGATTAATGATTGCTTTAAATTCCTGGTCTAAACTCAACTCATTGCCTTCAAGTCAGAGCCGACTCATAGCTGACCCTCTCGTGTGGATTGTGAGAGGCGATTGCCCACATGGGAGGTGATTGATCATTTTTCTCCAGGGAAGCAGCTGGTATATTTGAACCACTGGCCTTTGCGTTGATGGCACACGACCAGAGCACCAGAGTTTCTAAATCCTTGGTCAAGAAGCCTCCTTTACTGAAACAGAGTTGTAGATAAGTGCCAGAGAGTCTGTTGAATCAAGTGGAAGGAGCTGGAGACCTGACGATTGCCGTGGTTTGTGTGTGCTGTGTGGCACATGGTAACGCCTCCTTTCCTTTTTGCTTTCAGTAATGAATGTTATAACTATTGAAGATTATAAGAGCACATACTGGCCAAAATTGGATGGTGCCATAGATCAGCTTTTAACCCAGAGTCCTGGTGACTACATCCCTATATCCTATGAACAGATATACAGGTAAGTCGGGCGTTCGTGCAGCTCGGTTTGAATGGGTTTAGGGAAACCACGAGCCTCTGTGTGGGAGAAAGATGGTTCAGCCCCCTTCATAAAGGTTATACTCAGGAAAGCCTGGGAGACAACTCTGTCCTGCAAGCCCTGTCCTGTAGTGTTGCTGTGAGTTGGAAATGATGACATTGAGTTTGTGTTTTGGTTTTTTTGGTTTCATGTAATATACGTAAGAGGAGTCTCTATAAATACGTGCGTACACCACACTTGTAGACTAGAGGTTTGACTTAGGCTTTTTGCTTCAAAAGCGATTTGTAGATTACGATACAGTAACTCCACTTACCAGACATTAGCTTCTGTCACCCAGGCTGTGCTTCGATCAGACCCTGGCGGTCAGTACAAAAAGCCAGGCTGTCGCAAAGACCTTGAGCAAAAGCCACGTCTTCTCAGTTTCACTGGGAGGTCACCTCTACCCTTCTGGTGCTCCTGATGCATCCTGAGTAGCTTTGACTGCCTGGTTTCCCAGCTCCTGATACGTTAAAGCCAGACATTGGAAATTGGGGTGAGATTGAAGTTACGGTACAGTCACAGAAGAGGAAGTGTCAACCCTGCTGTTTGAAACAAGTAGAAGTAAACAAAGAAGTTATATTGGGAACATTTTTGCAAATTACAAAGTTTTCTTTCTGTTTATTTTAATACTTATTAAACGTGGAACAAGTAAACAAGAGAGAACTTGGCTTCAGAGAAGTTGGTGTATTCAAGCCCTCAGATGATCACCCAGTACTGGCTTTATCTAGGATTGAGATGTATAAGGAGCCCTCATTTCTCTCATGGTTAAGGAGTATGGCTGTGAACCCAAACATCAACAGTTCAAATCCACCCGCTGCTCCATAGAAGAATGATTGAAACAAGTTTGTTTTGGTTGGAAACCCGAAGGGACAGTTTCCTCTGTCCTCTGGGGTCACTGGAAGTCGGAACTGAATCCATGGCAGGGATTTGGGATTAACTGTGTAAAAGACGGCTTGGAATGGATTATTTGCAGTTTGTGGTAATCTCTCTTCTATCTAAAAACGAACTAGGTGAGAGTGAAGTTTTTTGTGCTGTTGAGTCAGACCGACTCCTGGTGGACCCAGCACGGTTTTTCAGGTGCTGGAAATTGCATGAGAGGTGACTGTCCATCTTTCTCCCCAGGAATAGCTGGTGGATTCAAACCAGGTACCTTTGGTACAGCTCCATGAGTCATCCTGGGAGGGGGGATTTTACTTGTAAGTTGTGGTTGGTCGCACTTTCGGTCTTGAATTAACTGACCAGTGGCTGAAACTGGAATATGTGTGCACCTGAGGTAACTGCCTCATCAGTAACTTGGTCTTGCTTGTTTTTTTCACAGTTGCGTGTATAAGTGTGTATGCCAGCAGCATTCGGAGCAGATGTACAGTGATCTCATTAAAAAAATAACCAGTCACTTAGAGAGAGTCTCGAAGGAGCTGCAGGTAAAGACTGACCACTGATCTTTGCTTCCTTGGGATGTTCTGACTGACCAGAATGGACCTGTATGTAACAGACATCTGGAAAAACGTTAATCTGATGGTCGTGTAAAGTCATGGACATTTTCTAGATGGATGTTGGCCAGATCTTTGGTATAGATTATTAACTTGAAAATTTGGCCACAAATTGTCAAACGTCTTAAACTGAATGTTTCATGCCTTAAACTGTCCTCACAACTGTGAAATGTGGGGGCCAGTTATAGAAACAGTCTGTTTAAAGGTTCTGCTGGTCTCTGGACTCCCCCTCTTCAGTGAAGTGTCCTGTACTTGAAGGCCAGGACCAGATCACATTTGAGTTCTGGTGCAGAAGAAACGTGATGCCTAGAAAATCCACTGAGCCAGTGAGAGAGGGCCAGGCTCCACCTCGTTCAGGAAGGGCCCAGCAGGCTGGGAGAAGCCTAACTCCCGGGTGCAGCTTGGCCTTACTTCTCACCTACTTTGTAGCCTCAAGTATCTTAGCCTTTTTACCTCCAAATGATTGTTGCAGTAAGTAGCTTTAAAAAAAATTAATTACTAGTTCCATGTTTTATCATAGCCAAACACACTTTTTTCCTCTCGAGTGTGTGAATTCTTCTCTTCACTTTATACATCTAAATAGAAAATCTCTATTTATTCAACACACGTTTTGGGATGAGACATTGTATATAAGTTGTATCCCCTCCCACCATGGCAGCCCTCTGTCAGGTTTCTGAGACTGTAAATCTTTCCAGGAGGAGACTGCCCTTTTTCTCTGGAGGAGCAGCTGGTGGACATGAACTGCAATCCTTTCATTTAGCAACACAACACATCATCAGCTTTATATATTGTAGAGGAACCCTCGCCCCTGTGTAATGTAGCTTTGAATGGTTTGCTTTCGTACTCATGACTCTGCTCACTAGCTCATTTCCCATTCTAGTTTGTTGTCATGCCCCATTTGCTTGCTTGGTGACATAGTCACTTCCTGAGATACTGCCTCTCCCCAGGGCCCCGTCATCTCTCGAGTGTGGTGCTGAAATGCTAGTTCCAGCTGGTTGCTCCTCCTCTGATCTTACTATGTCTGACTTTGTCTTGCAGTTAGAGTGACTTTTTTCCAAAAACATAAATCTTCATGTTGCATTTCTGTTACAATAAAGGCTGGACTTTTCATGTGGTTGAAGGAGCCTTTTGTTAACTGATGCTTCCTTATTTCTGTGGCCTCATCGCTTCCTTAACTGTCTACACCTGCATGCTGAACTTCTCAGCTACTTGAGCATTTGATGTACACTCACATCTTGAGTATGTTTCCGGTTTGGAAACCATAGCAGTAGAACAAATTTTGGATGGAGCGAGGCACCTGAATTTGCGGTTTCCCCGAGCACGTGAAAGCATTATTTACACTGTACAGTAGTCAGCTGGGCATGCAGCTGCATGATGCAGAAGTTTGAAGTGTTGTGAGAATCACCAAATGTGACAGTGAAACACCAAACGCATGCTATGCTGCTTGAAAAATGGCACCAAGTAGATGTGCTCAGTGGAAGGGTGCCACCAAGCTACCTTTGAAAAATGTTCTGTCTCTGAAGCAGAATTAGGTAAACCCAATCAAGTGAGGAGTGCCTTTTATTCTGGGACCTTATTTTCCCCCTCTGTTCTTGCGTGCTAAGCTCGAGTTACCTGAACACTCTCTGTGTTCTCTTTCTTGGATTTAGCTGTGCTGACCTGGCTTCCTTGAGGCCATTCTTGCCCTTCCTTTGCCCTCTTACTTGTTTTGGTCAGTGTCAACTTAATATTTAGGTGGAAACTTAGATAGTACTTGTTTGGGGAAATATGTTTTGTCACTTTGTTCTTCTAGCTTTGAGTCTAGCAACCCCCCATCTGAACTTCTGTACTTTTTCATAGTTTATTGTGCACTGTGAGGAGCACTTGTGACTTAGTCTCTACCGGAGGTTGTGCCTCTCTGGCGGTTCAAATCCACCAGTGACTCCAAGGAAGAGATGGACTGTCTCCTTCCTTGTGATTTAATGAATAAATACTGTTAACGAATGAAAGCTTTTCTGGTAGAAATTGGACTTTGTGTTTTTCAACTTGCAGGCTTGGTGATCTTGGGGTACAGAGAATGTTGAACCTCTTGACATTGTACAAAGATTTAAGAACGTATATTGGAGAAGTATGGGGGAGAAAGTTCCAGAACTTTTCATTAGATCAGCAAAGAACTCAATGACCCCAGAAAGGGATTTTTTTTATTAACACTGTTTTGATACGGAATAATATTAAGTGTTCCTCTATAAAACAGAAAAGAAACCATTTGAATTAACATGATTTGACTAGAATGTAGTACTAGTTCAGGCTTATGAAGAATTACCTATACGATGTGAACTAGTTTTTCTAATCTGTATTACAATTAGTTCTCCCCATCTTCTGCAGATCCTCCATTGGATTGATAGCACATGATTTGTTATATTTCATCATGCAGGTTGTGTTTGAGTAGCTTTTTCTTCCATTTAGTTTTGTAAGCACTGTAAGAAATTTTTTATAGTTAGTAAGAGACTTTTAAAGTCAGAGACACCCTAGCTTATAGTATCCAGCTCAGTCTGATTAGTTTTGGAGGGGCACTTCTCTTGGCTGCATTTGAGGGGCAGGAATTTGAGCAGTGATCAGTAATGTTCAGTAGCTCTGTTGTTGTTCAGTCTGGGCTGCACAGGGTCCGGATGCTTCGGAGCCCCTGGGGCTCAGGTCTGAGAAGGTAGCTCACTTTCTCTCAGTGCTCTGAGGGCTCCCTCGTTCTTGACCCTGATTGCATGGTGTGTCCTTCCGTGGCTCTACTGAATTTACTCACCCAGGTTTTGGTGGGTGAATACTAAAGCTCTTTTGAGTCTTTACCATTACTAATAGTGCAACAGTGAATTATCAGTCTTATAATGCCATCTACTAAGGTCAGATTACTGTTCACAGGCGTTGTCTCAAGTCACAATCCCACCAGCCACGTGAGAGTGACCTTTACTAATATGTGTATCATGAAATGAAAGAATTTTTACTTGTAAATGAATATGTGAATGATGCTTTTTAGGAATTAGAGTGTGAATATAATACCCCATGGACACTAACATTTAAAAATATTGACAGCTTTGTTTGTGTTTTTGAGACCAGTCTAGGTATAGGTTTTGCATGAGCACCATCAAGTGTTTTGGGTTTCCCATTCTCCTGAAGTCTAGCCACAATTTGTTATGCTCCACACAGTCAAATTCCTCTGATACTCAAACACAGATAGACATTCTTCTGATACTCTCTGCTTTCAGCCCAGGTCCATCTGACATTGGCAAATGATAGTCTTAGTGCCATGGTGTCTTCTAAACCCAGTTTGTTTTTCTGGCAGTTCTTTGTTGCTATACTATTCCAGTTGTGTTTGGATAATCTTCAGCAAGATTTTGCTTGTGTGTGATCTTAGCGATATTGTTAAATAATTTCCATACTCGGCTGGATCGCCTTTTTTGGGAATGGCATTCTGTTATCCAAATATGCAATATACTCTACTAGGTGTAGCAGTAAATCTGTAATGGATAAAATGAAATCATTTGAACCATCTTCCCTGCTGAGAACAACCACAAAAACCTAGATAGTAACTAAAAAAGATGTAAAGAATTATAGGGCCAAGATCTGGAACAAGCTGCAAGCTGAGAAAATGAATAGACCTTTGTTAGACTTACAGGGTCAGGATGATACAAATTGGAGTTGGTGGCCTTAGTGGTAAGGAATTGTGCAGCCAACCCAAAGATACATGGTTTGAATCCACCAGCTGCTCCTGAGAAAGATGGGCAGTCTCTGTGATTTACAGCTTCTGAAACCTCATCGCAGGCTCAACTATGAATTGGTTCTGATGCAACAGCATATAACGGTAACAGCAAAGATGCTAGATGGATAACACTTTACCTCAGACTTTTGGCTAGGATCCTGAAGGACCACATCCCAAGGATAATAACAGGATATAGACCAGCCTGTTAGTAGCTGAAGCCTGATTCCTGATTGGATAAGGCCAGTATTTGCCAGCACTACTAGCTTTTTGCTAGAAGCAAAAACCATAATATTCTAGGCAGCAAGCCGTTTGCTTCATTTCTCATTAGCAATCTATGGTACCACTTCAGAAATAATTAGCTTCAGTAAGTGATAACTGATCATAAAATCAACAAAAATTATTAAATGCCGTTTTAGATAAGAATTGAGAAAATTCAGGGGGTGGAAGGCTGGGCGGGAAGAGAAGTGCAGCAATGAATGAATGGAAATCCAGAATCTCTGTAAATGCTCATTAAAATTATTTAAAAAAAAAAGATTGAGAAAATTCTTTACCACTAGGGCAAGAATTCTTCACTATTCTGCAGCAAGCACTTCAGGTTCTCTCTTTCAGTAAGCAAGGTGGTGTCATCTGCATAGCAGTGGTTGTTGAGGAGTCTTCGTCTGATTCACATTCTGTTGCAGAACATCAAAGAATACAGCCTTCAGTATGAATGGCATCTCAGATTCTTACCACTGGACCAGTAAGCACCATCGTTCGTTACAGTGGGAAAAAAGCTTGAAACAGTCAGTGACTTCATCTAACTTGGATCCATAGTCAGCACCCTTGGTACAGCAGTCAGGAGATCACAAGACGTATTGCATTGGGGACATCTGTAGTCAGGGTCCTCCACCTCTTCGAATTATTAAGGAGTAATGATGTCTGTTTGAGGACTAAGATGTGTCTGATTCAGGCCATCATCTTTCCAGTCGCTTGCTATGCATCTCAGAGCTAAACAGTGAATAAGGATGACAGAAGACGAGAATTGATGTTTTTCAGTTGTGGTGTTGGGGAACAGCCCATGGACTGCCAATAGAATAAACAGGTAAGTCTTGGAGAAGGCGCAGCCAGAGGGCGTCTTGGAGGCAAAACTGATAAAGCTTCATCTCACACACTTTTGGGCATGTTGCTAGGAGAGGCTATTCCTTGGAGGGGGACATCATGC